CCTTCTGCGCACGCTGCTTATACATCTTGTGTCTTGTGTTCTCCGTGAGACTGACCTGCAAATACCCCCCGAAGTCTTCGTCCGAGAACCAKACCACTCTCACTGGCCACGAGTGCATCTTCCACAATTCGAATATTTGTTCACCGGCCAACTCCTTCACAACAGCCACGGTGTGTTGCCCGTTGACAGGAAAATAGAAGTACTTGTCCTTGTCCTCTGGCTTGAAGACATCTTTGTGAACCCTCTAAACTCTCTCCGGCTTCTGCGTCACCGACTTGTAGATGGGTGCCAGAACCAAAGGGTTCTTCGTCCATATCTTCCCCTTTTCCTCGTGGAACTGCCTTAGCATCGCACCCTTGATATCCTCCACACCATCGATAGTGAGACTGCGGTGGTTGTAATATCTTTTCCACGACAGGATGTCGCAGACCTTCCTAGGGTCGATGAGCAGTTGAACGGGGAGCTCCTTCTCCACGATCTCACCGTCATTGTTCCGCTCGTACTCAAGCCAGAACGCTGCCGCTTCGTCGAACTGCCTACYGACAGCCCATTCGCCACCGCTCACCCCCTCAGCAGTCTTCCTCCTCCGAGGTTTCTTCTGGCCATCGCCTTCTTCAGCTGCCAGTTTTCTTTTGGATTTCTCTGAAAGTTCTCTCGCGGCGGCAGCGCCTGGATGAGCCGAATCTCCTCCATCCATAGCTTGCCCATCGCGGATGGTTAAACCGTCGGGCCTCCTCGCTTTCTTACTTGCCGTTGCACCCTCTTCCTTCGACAACCTCTTTTCGACTCCTTGTTCTTGTCCGCCATGCATCTCTGGCGTCCTCTTTCCCGAGGCACGTTCTCCGACGCTACCTCCATCCCCGCCAATCATCGACTCCGAATGTCCTTTCATCCTCTTCATGCGGCGGATTTCTTCCACCACCTCCTCTCGCACCATCCTCTGTCGCTCGCGCTTCTTCTCTGAAGAAGTCGGCACCCCGCCAAAGTTGTTGCGGACATCGCCTATCCCTTCAGCCTCATTCCCTCCAACCTCTTGCCCCGATATGCCGGATTCTCTTCTCGTCTCATCTCAAATCGAATACATGTCGCCCTCGCAGACAACCTTGAGGGTTTTCGGAGTACCGACCCGGTGAGTCCCAGCATGTGGAGAATGCAAGCCAAACGTGTTCCTAGGAGCATCCGGGCGGACCTGTGTCTGAATGTTGCGCGCGTGCCCCTTTCCCTGACCCCCAGTGCCACGAATCGCACTCACGTGGCCCACTGGCGTCTCAGGGGTTTCTTGAGCCAAGCCGGACGACCCTTCATGGGCTGGCGGAAGCCGAAAAACATATTCTCGCGGAAGAACCGGAATCCGATGTTCTTTCAGCACCATCAGTGCRAGATCGAGGTATTCCATTGGCGGTGGGAGACGCTTGCTGTAGCCATCGTAAAGCCCTTTGAAGTGACGGCACAACTGCATGTTCGACCAGTACCCCGCGAAACTCTTGATGACCACTATCACACCCTTAACAACTTTGTAAGGCAGTCTGCACTCGTCGTGCAAGACGTTAGTGTGCAGCTTGAGCAAACCTCCAGAAATCTTGCCGTACGAGACGATGGTACCGAGAGGAATAACGTTGTCCGCTCCCTCAGC